AACTGCTGTGAGGGCAGTCTGAGCCTCACCATGCAGACAATTTTTTTTTGCGCAATCTTCGTCAAGAAATATGCAAGTTAATTTTTTGCAGGATAACCAAGGTTGATCGCAAGGATGTCCATCCGGCCCACTATCTAGCCAGGCGAGCGATGTTGTCTCCCTTCACATGTGCCACTGCTGCATGGACTCCGTTTTGGACTTGGGCTACTTTGGAGTATTTATTGTTGTTTTTCCCGTTGTAATCTGTTTGCACTCTGTTCTCCTATATTATATGCATTTTCTAACAAAATCTATATATGAGTACTATTAGGTGTATTTATATTACTTGTAAAAGCCAAGTGTTTATCCCAGGTGTCAATGTTAGTCGTTTCTTTTTCTTCTTCTTTTGCATGTTTTTTTTTTTTTTATCTGATCCTCTTTTGTATGTTGGTTGACACCTTCTTACAAGTCATAGGTTGTACCTTTAGGCCTACTCTTTTGTTCAATTATAATATACTCAACGTTCCTAAAAATGAGAGTCCACTTTTATATGTATTTTTATTTTTATTTTGTTTATATTTTTTAATTTATAATTTTTTTTTGATTTTAAAATTTTGTCTAATAAAATTAATAAGATCTATCAAACAAGATCTATATTTGATATTTTTAGCATTATAGATTGAAAGATATAAGCAATTTTTTGAAGTATCCGAAATAGTAACATAGACTCTCATTTAGAAACGGAGAGAGTATCACACAATAAAGGGTGAAAAAAAGAGAACATGGAGAAACGTATTGTAACGACCCTGATTTTTGGTAAACAAAAATTTCGTTAAATATTTGAATTTTATTTTGATTACTTGGATTTGCTTTTTAAATTCCTTTTAAATTCCTAATAATCCGTCATAATTGGATTTGAGAGTTATAATTTTTTTTTGCTTCGGACAATATAGTCATTTTCTAAAGACAAGTATGCTTACAAAAGCACTTGTATATTTTCCTTGTATTTGAAATAAAGTCTTAAAATTTTATTTCTTGGCTAGAAATCCTACATGGCAAGTATAGTTAGTTTTTAACCAATTAGTTAGCAAACCGAACTACCATTTCACCTAGTTACTTTCACCTAACCCTAAATGAGCTTTCTTAACCCTCTTTGAACCTTGTGAACCTTCCTAAACCCTAATTAAACCAATAGACCATTAGAAGTAATCTTTTTACCTTATGTTTTGTCATTTCAAGCCATATGTGTCATTTTTCTTCCTTGACCTTTGGATAATAATTGTTAGGGGAAATTTTACCCCTTGGGTAATAAAAATTAGTCATGGCCCAATCTCATCATTTTGCTTCAAAGAGAAGCAACCATAGCCTTGCCATGCATGCCACCCTAGACTAAAATCCCTAACCCTATTTTTAAGTTACTTTCCTAGATTCACCAAGCACATGTATACTTAATAGTCCATTATCCTTTTAACCATTGGTTAATAATTTCTAGGGAAATTTTTATCCCTTGGATAATAGAATTAGGACTTGCCAATGAATACCCCAAACTTGACTAGACAAGTCAAAGCCAAATCTCATCCTTTTGCTTCCAAGAGAAGTAAATCTAGCATTTGCCATGCATGCAAGCCTACAAGTCAATTAGCCCTAAACCTATTTACCTTCCAAAGCTATTTTCCTAGATTCTTAAGTACATAGATAACCATATATATGAGTCTCATAGCCTATAAACAAGTCTATATTATTAGGTGTGCACTTTATAGGAAATTCATTACCCTTTGGGCAATAGTTGTTAGGGTAATTTTTATCCTTTAAGTAAAAGGAATAAGTCTTGCCATGAGTAACCAATTCTAGTCTTCCTAAGTACATTCTAGCCTTTGATTTGATTCCATCTTGCAAGCAATCTCTTTCTAGGACAAAAAAAGCCAAGAACACTTGATTATGACCTAAGATATGGCCTAAAATAGAAGTGACAAAGCATGCCATGCTTATGGTTGTGATTTGACTACACCATGGATCAAATCCATGAGAGAGAGAGAGAGGAAATTTGGCCAAGAAGGGAGAGGGGGAGGCCGAGAGTGAGAGAGTGAGGTGGAGTGTGTGCTTGTGTTTTGGATACTCCCACAAGCAACCTAAATAGCCCTTAAGCCTAAACCTAGCCAACTTTAAACATGACCTTAGCCAATGACTTTGTTTTTTCTTGCAAGACTTGCCAACCTAGGTTATAATCACCTAGGATTGCCTTACAAGCCTTAGAAAATCTCCATGATCATACCTAGGATGGAATGACAAGGCTTTGGCTTGTTTAAAGATGTGAGGTGACCAAACAATGGAGCAAAAATCCATGGGGTAAAGAGAGGAGAGAGGGCCGGCCATGAGGGAGAAGGGGAGGCCAATGCTTGGCTATAAATAGCACCATTCACTTGCCATTTCAACTCACACCTCACTCCTTTGCTCTCACTTCTCTCTAGAAACCATTCCTGTTTTTCCAGGCAGCTTACTGCCCTTCACAAATCCGCATTTTGCTCCTGCTTAGAGTAGTCCTTAGGACCAACTTCCTTCGGGAAAGTTGTAGAACACTTTGAGCCCTTCAAATTAGACCCAAGAAGCACCCTAATCGGTCAAGAAACGACAAAGATATTGACCTCCGAAGTTCAGAAAAAATTCGGATTTTCCAGATTCCAGACAGCAAGCTGTCCCTTCCTTTATCACCATATTTCTCCTACCTAAAGTAGTTTCTAGGATCAACTTCCTTCACAAAAGTTGTAGAGCACTTCTAGAGCTTCGATTTCGACTCAAGAACGATCTCATTCGGCCAAATATTGACCGAGTTACTGCCATCCAAAGTTTGGTCCAGATTCGTGAGTTTCGCTACCCGTAGGATTTTTCAACTAGCTTATTCGGCCCCGACTAGTTTCGGATCAAGGTAGATTAATCTCTACTCATTTTCCCTAGTATAACTTTAGTTATGTTTGCTTATGATAAGGCTAGTTGAAGTATTAGAAATTACTCGCAAGCTCGCTTTACTATATCTTTTTTTTTGAAATGAAGATACAATCTTGTAAACTTTCCTATACTTTCTATCTTGAAGCATATCGTATGATTCTTGTGTGTAGTTTGTACGTTGATACGATTGAGAAAATTGAAAAGTATTTTCCTAAAAGAAATGAAAAGGAAGGGGAGTATGTTGAAAATATCAACCTTATTTTCCGAGTAAACATGTGTTGTTTTAAACTTCCTTAAAAGGAGGAAAGAACGGATTTTCAAAATATTAACTTGATTAGAAGTATTCGCATTTCGATCCTTAAAATGATTATAAGCTTGTATACATGTTGCTTGTCTTACTTGTTACTGATAAAGCATAAGTGGTTTACCACTCCAAAGGTGTCCGTCCATGTGGCACTATGCTTTACCTTGTATGTTAATTACTTGAGCATGATTATGTGAAATCAAGGATAAAATGAGCATGCTAAATAAAATAGAGTTGGATGATCTTGCTAGTTTAATTTCAAGATTTCAAATTAAATGATTTATGTGAAAAAGTCCCACTGCGGAGTCTAAGCATGAATACGAGACACGAAGATCGAGAAAATTAGAAACATGACACCTAGGATGTGATTTAAGGCAATGACTTGGTAAAATATTTTTGAAACTACATAATGACCAATGTGGGAGTCATTATGTGAGTCGTGTGTGTTTTGAAAAGGAGAAAAAGCTTTGAAATATGATTGTGTGCCAATGGGAACCCGGTGCGGCGGAACCATTGTGAGGATACTCGGGAAGCCGGAACAGCGGAACCGAGGTTGGGTGTGTGGCTTGGTTATCCGTGGAGATGAGCCAATGCTAATGTGTGCCAATGGGAACCCGGTGCGGCGGAACCATTGTGAGGATACTCGGGAACCCGGAACGGCGGAACCGAGGTTGGGTGTGTGTTTTAAAATCACAATGTGGCCGGACTTGCCCATTGTGTGGTGTGGGTGTGTTAAAAACAGATTTGTTTTTGAAATGTTGATTAGGAAATGAATGGTGAAATGGTGACACGGTCTACGATGAGTCGCGTAGGAGAAACTCAGAAAAATCACGGACACCAACGATAGATGAATAGTGAATGTGTCATTGCAAATTTCTTATTGTTTATGCATGTGTTATTTTACATGAGATAGTATGCTACTTCTATGTCCTGTTGCTTTAAATTATGGGTTAACAAGTGAGGGACATGTTCTATTTGAGAATCGTTACCTATATGATCTATTGTTTGTAAGTTATGGGTTAGCGGGTATGGGATTATCCTGCTGAGCTTTTGCAGCTCACGGTGTTACCTTTGGTGACCCTGACATATTATATCGGTGGCGACGCTGGTATAATGTGTCAGACCTGATAGATGAACAGGGAGAGCTGTAAACCTTGGAGGCTTTTGGAGCTGAAGAGCTGGCTAGGATGGAGGAGCAGGCGAAGCCGTAAAACCCTAGATTTTCCATTCCTTTATGTAATAAAAGCACTCTGATGGGATTATGATGTAATAACGAGCCAGACTCTATTTTAGAAATTCAATAAAATTGCCCTTTTAACGTACCCGGAAATTGGGGGCGTTACACGTATAATACCTATGTTAGCTTTTTGTTTGAATACATTCAAAATAACTCGATTTCTAGATGATCCCTGTCGAAGAAGAGGCTTCTAATGATCTTTCTAGTTTTCGTTCTCTAGGTTTTTTTTTTGAAATCATTCTCTAGTTCTATTTGAAAGAATCCAAAGGAAAATAACTTTGTTTCCACCAAGCTAAAACAATATGTCGATGTCTCTAGTAAACCAAAGTCATCGTTTAATTGCTATTTTGCTTCAATTTCTTCTCTACAAATCAAAAATTGAAGATTTAGTTACGAATAGAATCTCGTATTTTTTGATCTTCTTCTAGACCTTCCGAATAGTTTTTTGGTTATGCAAACCAAAGGGAAGGCGCCACTCCACTACCCTTCCATAGTTTTGTCGTAGATTTTTCTAACAAAATTAAGCGCTAATAAAATCTCTCCAGGTAGGATTCGAACCTAAGACCAATCAGTTAACAACCGATCGCTCGAATCCTAAGACCAATCAGTTAACAGCCGATCGCTCTACTACTGAGCTACTAAAGAGTATGCGAACGGAATAGTTGAGTAAATGGATGGCAGCACGGTGAAGGAGGCTAGCGTGATGAAAGGAACCCAAAAGGATATAATGAATCCATTATGGAGTACTTATTCAAGAGATTTTGAATACCATTACAACATTTTTCGTCACCACACATTCATGTGAAACTCATATACTTAGAACCCTCGTAAATACATAGTGCTGGAGGAGATCGACACATCACGTGACGGTATCCTAATGGCATCCATTAATTTTCTTTAGAAATTAAATACGATAAGTATTCTTCTTTTAATCAATTTGACTCGAGTCAGTCACAAAAGACTAGTATTGAAGAAATAATTATCTGCTTATCGTCAATGCTAGTCTTCAGTAGGAGGGGGATGACCATCGTCAGAATACTATTGAAATAGTAAAACGTGAACAATTGAACAAAGCTCCACCACAGACTAGGCTGCAATTGAACCAAATCGTTTGTGAACGGCTCGGTGTTCGGCTCACTTTAAGCTTGTTCAAGCTCGTGAAAAAAATAATAAACAATCCTGTACATTAGCATTATCAGCTCGATCCAAGCTCACAAAAAATTTATAAACAAGCCTGGACATTAGCATGCTCGGATCGATAAGTCTCCTTTTCTTTTAACGGAAAAAGATTACATTATTCCTTCCGTCCCTTATTTACAGTCCAGTATTTCATTTTGGACTGTCCCTTAATAAGTGTCCATTTTGTAAAGTTAGTGGGTAAAAATTGGTATATTGCCTATTTTGTCCCTAAAAGTAGATTCTTTTTTTAAAAGTTAGTGAATAAAAGTGTAATGATGATGGATAAGTAGGAAAAGTGGAGGAAAAAATTGATGTGAAAGATATAATGATGAATGTGTTTTTAATAAGTTGGAGTTACAAAGCAGGATACTTAAAAAGGGACGGAGGAGTACTTTTTATTATTTCGAAAGTTTTTATTAATTCAAAATTAATATGCTGATGTACAATATTAAAATAACTATAGTAAATTGTATGACTATTTCGAAATAAAGTCCTCTTTTTTTATTAGCTAAAATATGCATATAAGACATGTACATCCACAATCAGAACTTTTTCTACTATGCAAGTATAAATATATTTTTGTTGTCAGCTCATGAACAAGCTCAGGCTTGAGTCAAGCTTTGACTGGCTTGGCTCATGCTCGGCTCATTGACTTCTCACTATGTTCGAGCTCGCTAAAAATTTATTAAGCAAGCTTGACCATAGCTCAACTTGACTCAGCTCGTTTGCAGCCCTAACAACAACTCCTGAATTGCTTTTATAACCTAAGATTTACCAGAGGTTGAACTACCTTGATAGTCAATTGTACATGCAGTCTTTTGCATGAAGTAAAAGAACAAGATAAAAAAAATTAAAATAAAAAGAAGAACGTGTCAAGTCCTTCTCAAGGGTCCAAGAATCCCACGTCTTAGGATCATGAATTGTAGAGAAGTTCAAGGGGCGAAATTGAATATGTAGAACTGAAGATAATACAGATGAGAAGATAAATGGTAGTACTCCAACGCTGCTCCATAATCCAAACAAGTAATCAGGTGAAAGCAATGACAATGGGCAAAGTGACGATCTGCACGAAGCCACATTTCAAGATCTGGCGGAAACTATATTCACTTCATGCAATGAATTGTAATAAGAAACCAACATGACAGAAGTGTATCAGATTCACAGACCAGCTACGAGGCATGGAAACTAAGCTGACTTAAAACTTACTTTCCAGAAAAATTCGAACACCACCACAAATTTGTTCAAATAGAGCGCCCCTCCTGCTGTCAAGGGCAATAATGGGCATACATCGGCATCATTAAAAAACGTGAACAGTGATACTAAAAGTCTAGAAGGTGGAATGGGTCCTTTTAATTTAAGATTAAGAGTGCGACTAAGAAAAGAGAAGGCAAGACGATGGCAAGGTATATAGTCACCAGAAACTTCGACAGCTTTATACACTGATAATTTGCCGATACCGTTTACTTTTTTCAACATCCTCTAATAGCAAAACCAACCGGAACTTGGTGTACTTTGCTGCCATAAGTATTGTAAAGAGAAACTATATCAATCGCATTAACGACGACCTCCGAAGTCCTTCCCCATGGCTAGCTGTAGATGTCTGTAAAACAGAATAACAAAGCTTCAGAAATTAACCGCGTACTTGAAGTTCAATAGTACAAAACAAAACTTAGCAGACCCAACAACGGATTGCACAACTTTTCAAGGGTTGTGCTTGTTTAGTGCTAATATGTCGCTTATAAGTGAACGTGTTCCTATCAAACTTCTTTAAAGAAATCAGGAAAATACAGTCATGAAAATTGAAAAGGCTGCACCCTATCAAAGTTTGAGACTGGATACAGAACAAAAGAGAGAAATGTTCGTACAATACTTGAAAAGGAATAATGGACATATAGGTACGCAGCCAGAGCGCAAACTCAAACTGGCAGCTCAAAGTTGACATGTAATCTCTAGGTGTGAACCCAAAACCAACCAAGACAATCAAGTGCTACATACATGTCATTAAGCAGGCAAGTGAGGCAACATATCCAGCCAACAACTAGTAGCCATTGTTCCACGTCAGATGTAAGGATCTCATCAAAAGTTCTTCCCCGACTGCATTTGCATGTGAAAGTAAACCACCAATGCCATAAACATAACTAAATAATGATGAAACACTAAACCTCAAGACATTAGGTTGTTGAGTATGTCTTTGAGTACACAGCCAAGTTTTTTGTACTACACTACAGCAATTCAACATACCCTACCGCCCAAAAAATATATCTAAACAACAAGATTCTTCTTCTTGTCGATAAGAAAAAAGGCATCTAAAGGGCAAAACGAATTTCCTTTGCAGCAATTTACAGGAAGTTATACTCCCTGAAAGGACCTTCTATTTCACTTCCTCCATATCCACCACATCACACAAGATAGATACCCATTACATAAAACCCAGGTAGCAAGCAGAGGTACATGAGACACTTACAAATTTGAGAGCTTCTAGAACTCCAACCAGAAAAGCTTTCCTATACCTGGCAGAATTCTAATCTTAACACAATAGTTTTCTGGAATTTGAATAATTGATGTGGATTGGTGGCTGGCAAAAATTACAAGTAGGCAACAACATATGGCTAAGATAATTCTGGCTTTCACAATCGACTGGTTTCAGCAAGATACGTAATAAAACAGGAACAGAACCGGGAAAGAATAATTGGATAATTTTAAAACTGAACCGGGCAAAAAACTTTTGAAGACCAACCACAAACTGGTTTTCACTGTCAGTCCAGTATTCAGTTCTGGTAATTACTTTACATCCCTACTGGTTACTAGCACCACTGAGTGCACAAAATACAAACAGGCTGTGGCATTACCCACCGACTCCAAATACCAAGTACACAAATCAAAAGGCCCCAAAAGATACCCACCCTATCTTTCAGGAAGAGAGCACCAGCGGAAAATAACTTTGTCTACATTCTACGCATCATAAAAAGTCAACATTGCCTAACAAGACAAGAGCCATATTCTACACAACAGGCTAACATTTGGAGGAGCTTTAGAATGCCAAAACCCCTGTTAAGGCAACAAAGGCTTTCCCTTTTTGCATAGCACCAAAGTGCGCAGTAACTTTGTTTAGATTTTTTTAAGAACTCCACAAACGTATCTTATTTTACTATTTTTTATTTTTATTTTTGCCAGTTTCTATTTAGTACTACCACCAAAACCTTCTAGCCACAAAACTGAGGCGTTCACAGCTCCCTTTCAGTTACCCCTCCTCGAATGCCCTCCTAAGTCAGAATAACTATAGACTCGTTCTCCAGCCTGCCGGTGTCCCAAACGTCCAGACCTAAGTCACATAACGCGAATGAGTGAGCATGAGCGAAAGCGAGAGTGAGAGCATTAGCCTTTAAAAAAAACTCAAAGTAATAAACTTTATGAGAGCGAAGATTGAGAGTGGGAGCTTAGAAAGTGGAATGAAAGCAGGAGCGAAGAGCCCTACCTGATGATTATGTAACCTACGTCTGGACACACGTCCAAGACGCCGTTGACCGTGTTGTAGATATACCTGATACCTCCCTAAACGTCAAATCCGACTCAAATTCAAAGAATCGCCGTACAGGTATCTCAACGGAATTCAGAGAACTCTGATGTCATCAGGATACCACCCACTATAAAGAGTTACTCAAACACTCTTTAAATCTTTGTGTAAAGCCTTTGCACAACATGCATTTAACCCACTATTTTTAAGGCCACAATCAATGTTACGCTACAAATTCAAATACTTCAAACATCAAAAAGTATCTAGAAGCCACGCTTAAGCTCTCCAAAAACATCTTTTTTCCCTTTTAGCTCTTCACAATGTGAAGTTGAGCCCTCAAAATTAACATAATTCCTAAAACCCTAATCATTTACTTCCAGCCAAACACCCCTACTAATACAAAGCCGATGATGAAGGGAAAGGGAAGACTTTGGGATAGGGTTTAGCATAACTTCCAATAAAAACGGCATCGAAGAAACTTCAGTGCCACAATAACTGATATCACTGTAAACAACTTCTACCACAATTACCCAAAAAAAACTTCTACCACATCCAACACTGCAAAAATGAAACAATAACGTTCAGTTAGGTAGAAAAGATATTTCCTTTGTTTTCAAACTAAGGATCTAAACACTATATATGAAAACAATCACCAAACAACATAACAGTTCATGAAACACTCGCCCAATCTCCAAACCCCACACATCCCCAACCTCAAATTTCCCAAATTATGTGAAGTTTCACCTAAAAGAGAGGTTCTTGCATTAGTTTCATTCATGCAATTCAAATAGTACAACCGTATCATTATCTTTGTTTAATCCAGCCCATACGCTTCTGAAAATCAATAACTTCATCCAAGCTGATCACAAATTAGTTTCATCCGGGGACAACAGGCCCCTCACCAATTGAAGCAAAATCGCTTTTCGCCCACCAATCACGAAAACTATATTAT